GAATATGATGAAACTCCAATTGATCATAGAAAAAATATTTCAGTGCATCATAATCGACCAGTACTGTAAGTATGTTGTCTATGGTTTATACACCATTAAGAAGAAACTTTCATATTAATAATTTTTTCGTCAATCTTAGGGGAATTATTGGAAAATGTGGGGAGTAATTAACCAATTCATAATATCTCTTACTTAGTTGCTGGACGTTGGACTTGTAGCTCAGGGCTGACTGGTTTTACTGTTCAATATCGTACGTGGTCATAAAAATAATACGCAATGCTGATAGGTCCCAACAAGGACGAAAGAGCTGTTCAGTAATCTGTTTTAGTCTTCACACCAGTTAACTGACAATCCATATTTTTGTTACTAAGGCTGAAGGGAGTAAAGTCCGTAGTCAAAAGGTATCGTGTAACTTATAACGGCGAGTTGTGTATGTGGAAAACTATTCATCATAAGTCCTCTTCGGTGATTCTCCATTGAATGACTCAAAGATTGTAAATCATTGAAACGCATGTATGGAGGAAAAGGATGACATGGAAACTGGAAGGGGACTGATATTATACATTGATTAGCGGTCGCTAGCAGGGTGGGCCCTTAAGTGGCGGAAAAGTGAGGAAATCGAAAACCGACGAAACACCACCAGAATGAAAAAAATAACATAATGGAATAGAACAATTCAGTATTTGATTGAGTAGGAAGAAAAGGATGATGAAGCACCATCCATCCTACAGGTGGACGCAATCTTCAAGAATTCAACAATTCTGAGCTTTGTGCAAAAGTGTAAGGCAGTTTGTTGTGAAAAGCTTTTGGCCTGGTGTAGGAGACCAGTCCAATTCACAGAACGGGAAGCAAAGTAGAGGTATACATGAAAAATAAAAGTGTATTGAGAGTTTAGGTAACAAAGAAGAGCTACGCAGAAATGTATATGCGTGATGCGAGGTTGCTAGTTGATTGAAGTAGTTGTAATAGACGGCTTGTGTGGATCAGGGCTTTTGAAATCCAATGTAACCGCATGTTCAAGGTCGACATTGTTCTCTTTGGTCTTCTAGATTTCACATTGTATTCTTTTTACTTTACCATACTCCGTAGCATGAAGTGAAGCGAGAATATCGAACGTTATCATGCCATCTAATTATTTTTTCCCTGCGGCATCCGACAACAGGAGTCAGAACCAGTCAAAGATGACTCCCAAAGAAATATGCTCATTTACCTATTTCAACCGCGTTCTAATCGGGGTTGATGTCCAATCCATAGTATAAACATTGGAAATAATGACCTTAATCACTTTTCTGTTAAAGCTGAACTTGGGTTTCGGTTTTATACTTGCTCACATTTTCAATTAAAGCTGAAGAAAAAGATTCACCTAGCATAACGATCTTCGATAGATTGGAAAAAATGGGTGATGCAGAAGTTTTCTGGAATAGTATTCACTTTTCCCGCCTTGTTTAAATTGGAATGAAATGCATGACGCACATTTTACGAAATTACTCATCCTGGCTTCAGTCAAACTGAGAATAAATTTATACTCTTCAACAAGGAGCTTCAGTGGGGAATACCTCGGAAATATGCGTATGCACCAGTAATGCTTCAATACATTTAATTAGACTGTAGGTGAATTAGCAGTAAGTTGAAACATACCAGAACAACTCTTTTTATTTGGATTTGTTCAAATTATTAAATCAACTTAATTACTTCGACGTGTGACTTTGTTATACATAGTTAACTTTTCACGTACCACCAACCACTAGTCACTTCAGCAATCCAAGCTGACACTCAAAAGATTGATTCAGGTCTATAGCACATGACATAACTTTCTCCAACTGCTGTCCTTTAACTTGGCAAATTTCGCCGCTTTCATTTTGATTAGTGGAGTTTGAGTTGTTCATTTTAACGTTATCTTTGACATAAAACACTGTTCCGATTACCGGTAGACCACCTTATATCGTCTAGTATTGAAATCAACATCAACGGTGGCACCTTTTTCCTCCAGTTGTATGCTATTGCCATCACTCGTTTGTTGCAGATCCTGGAAAATCCGATCCAGACAAACGCATCCTCAGAGGAAAATGCATGTCAAACGAATTCTCATCAAAATCATCAACTGGAACATCAGCACTATGAACAACTATGCAATCTGGACACACAGTCGCATGAATCAAATCAATCTCAACAAGAATGTTCCTAACGATCTGGCTACAACACGGGGAGCGTTGTCTCGTGTAGCGCTCAGCCCGTCGTCTTTCCCTCATGTTTGTTCTCGTTCTTCTCTTTTTCAGTGTTGCATTTGACTTGTCCCTCCCCCTTATCGCATCAGTCAAGCGAAACCCTCGTCCTGCTCATTTCCCTGCAACTTGGTGCACATATCTGAACAACGGAATATGGCCATGTTTGATCCGTAGTTCCATCAGTGACAGAAGTGACTCGGGAAGAACTGTGTCCGAGAATTGTGATTAGTCATTTTCCTATCGCTATTCACGCATGCATTTTAACTGATGTAACTCCGTTTTATACATAAGTTGTCTAAATACACTTGTATGATCGTTTCTAAGTTCCCGTTTTCATCTGTTGTAATCTGAGGCTCACTTTGCTGGTTTTAGTCCAACTAAATTGTTGGGGGTGTGGGGGCACTCAGTTCTTGCGTGCAATCGAATTAAATTACGTATGTACCAGAGAGAAATTTGTATCAAAATGAGGCTAAAAAACCAATACACAGCGGTTCCGTATAGCAACACAAGCACCAAGATGAATCTATCACTGTGTTGTTTATCGGTTTATTTACGAATGTGGGAAAAGCGCACATGATGATATCTCAAAGGTAGTTATCGGACCATTAGGGATAACAGCTTGTTGAAACAACTGCTTTTCAGTAATTCATTCCCAAGCCATTGCTGAATAGCTCAATATACACTGGAAAGCAGACCACTCATTTACGTATGGTTAGTACCAATCATGGAAGAGAGTTTATCACGGTTAAGTAAACCTTGCCATGTGATTGAATGGAATAACTTGGGTGAGTCTAGATGGATGCACATCGAATTTAGGCGGTCGTGATCGATCAGTGACAATGGAAGTTGGAGTGACTGAACCAAATTGATTCTCGACTACTGTGCTCTAATGCGCTATTGAACACCTCTGCACTCGCTATGAGAGAGATCATAGGCAACTCTGAACGCGGTACACAAAATCACCTAATCCCCAGTGTCAACCAACAACGCTGAGATTAGGCTGATCATCGACGCGGCCTGTCCTTGATTAATCAGCATGAGTAATGATGTTGAATTCGGGTCGATATTTGTCGTGTCGTGCAACGTCTATACTGTTTTCTGACCAGATTGGACTTCTGGATAGATTTGCCTTGTCAAATTCTGGAATTAGAAGACGAAAGCAGTTTGCGTGTACGAAGAGGACCATCAGCCACACGTACCTCACCGCATACAACCCTATGGATCACCGGGCAGCTGATCAGAGTTTTCGTTTTGTCTATACACGACATAGCACAACCCATCTTCACAAGCCTGTTACGTGTATCACGCCTCGCACTTCCTTACTCGCCTGTAGGATCATGCCTAGATTGGCAACATTTCAAACCGGACTACTTATTACGTGAGAGTATATGTGTATTTTATCCAGCTATATAGCTTGTAGGCATAATAAAAACTGTCTTGTCAGTTATCCAGTGATCCAGGGGGTAGTATGTTTCCGTTCTACTGTTGAAATTTGTTGTTCACTCTTTAATTGGGTTCAGGGATTCGTACTGATAATGAGATGCAACTAGGCGCAAATGGGTTTCCGGTGCTTCATCTTTTCAGTTGGCTTTTGTTTAGTCTGTAAACGATGAAACTCACCATGTAATTGAATCACATCTTCCAATACTTTCATTTACATTTCAATGTCCAAGTTTTATTATGGGCGTTTTAACAAAGCTAAAGCTTATCATGCCACATGGGATTTTTACAGAATGTTTTGAATAACTTCACAAAGAGAAAAAACAATGATAATAATGTGCGTGATCACTCACTGATGTTTAACACCCCACACCCAGACAATGACAGTATGCTTAACACACGGGCTGGGTATCCGTCTTACAATTTTCACATATCCCCGAAACTACTACACCGCAGTTTGGTGTTTTCACATATGACCCTAAATCGGTATATCGGTTTCAGATCATCATTGGTCATTAGTGTATGTCCATCAATAGACGATGCAGGCTGGCTCTGTTCGATGTTCGCGGATAAGGGTGGTATGTGATGGGTATGTGGAGGGTTGAGAGGTTACAGATGACAGTCGATCACGCGATCATCATGGAATATGTTCCTTGATCCATGTATTCAACCGCCTACCTACAGTGCTAACGTAAGGTATTTCGCATCCCCATTCAATTTGGTATATTAAATGTGATTTAGCGGATAGTGATTTTGTGGGAATGTGTGTTGTCTTGCCCAGGATGATTTAGTTATCAACATTGTAGGGGCGTTTCGCCGTAACCTTCAACCGATATCGAAAGACTATGCGGATATTATTGCCTCCGAAGCGGAAGACTAGATAAACTACTGGGTCCTGTCCCGGGGTGCGACTGAACTTCGAAGTAGAGCCGTCTGTGTAACCATTCTCTACAAGAACTGATTCGAGCTTTTTCAAATCAATTTGCAAGCGTACTGCGTTGCAGTGGTGACTCACTCGATGAAATAGTGTATTGTTATTAAAACGCGCGGGAAGTCGATTGGTGCGAAACTAACTAAATATAGATATTGGTCATTCCAAACACGTAGTAAGTTCAGTTCAGTTTTACAACCATTAACCATGCACTTTCGAGCTCCGGTTTTGGTTGCCTTCTTTTGGTGCCTCATTTGGATAAAACAGCAGGATGAAGATTGAAATGTTGAAAGCAAATTCAAGCGGAAGATGGAGAATTCATACAGAATGGTGTTAGGGGAATAATGAGTGGATGCACGACCGCCATTGTTTGCGACACCTAACCATATCACTCAATGTCTCTAACCCTCGGTGACCGTGATCTCTGGGTCTCCAGCCAGGGAGCCTAACGGGGCCTATGTGACCTAGTCTCCTGGTTAGGATTTTCATACCCTCATGCCATGTCTTCGGTTGACCACCCTTGAACTTTTTCTAACCGCTACCTGTCTCGGAAAACATCACTCACCGTGGCAACCTATTTGGTGACATGCGTAAAATATGCCCCAACCAACGTAATCAATGGAGGTCGATCACTTCCTCTAGTGGACGACCGCGACTGCATAAAACTCCACGCCTAACCTCAGCATTGCTCCTCCGGTTACCCCATCAGATTCGTGCAAAACGACACACAGCGGTGTTCGAACACCGACAATCTATTTTTATCCTGTTCCCTGGTCGATTCTCTTCACCGTTCAACAGTACTGGTCGAATTGCTGCAGTGTATACTCGACCCTTCACAGACAACCGAATGGCGCCACCCTTGTACTAAACCGTCCTATGAATTGTTCTGTCTTTCCTGTATGTCGTTTTGACTCCCAGGAATATGAGACGATCGTCTTGTTTCTCTGTCAACGAGAAAAGTACACACTCAAGTTCGTCGTGGTTCGATGGATCAACAACGAAATATTAGCGCACTTGGTAGATAGTGCGGATCAATTTAGTGTGTGCCCCGTATTCAAAGTTATTATTATCGTAATTCTGACTAAGATAACCTTTCGGGGTAATAACGTGTGAAGTTTATTCAGTCACTACAGTCCTGAAGGATAGTTTGAAACCCACAGGGTGCAGTTTTAACGTCATGAAATGCAATAGAATTGACCATAAAACGCAAAGGTTTACCATACCTATAATCGGTCACGTGACGTCTTCCGAGGACAAAACCGAAGTGTGATTTGTATTTGTGATAGAGTGATAGGTGAAATCGAATTAAAAAGTATGCATGTCCAAAATTATGGTATTCCTGTAGGGATTTACTACCTGTGATGCATCGAACTTTTAGCGAAAACCCAATTCACGCAGCTAAGGATGGAGCAAACGAGTTCGCAACTCTGTGCCGCAGAGAATCAAACCCGCCGGACCAACGAAAGGGTGACCAGAGTGGTTATAGATACGATCGATACAATTCATTAATAACGTGAACTAAATAATATCTATTTTGATAATATCTATGTGTACGTTTGCGGACGTGAGTGTCTGTGAAAACTAAGAGAAATAATCAACGTCACAGGATGTGGCCGTTAAACTATATGAGCCAGTCCAGTGAGACTTTAGAATGTCGGTATAACATCAAACCTGCGACAAGTCGCACTCCGTTCGTCGCTTACTTACGGAACTGAACGTGAATGCATCGTTTGATCAAATGGAACAGTGCCCATACACTCAGTCGGATGAATTATTCCACTTCAATAAATATCCCGCTCTGAAACAAAAATGTATTGTCTTATAAATTTTGAATCTTATGGTTATGACTTTATAGACACGAATCGATAAAGTTTTCATGGGATAAAAGTCACTGATTTATCGGAAAACAAGATGAGTGAAGAGCCAACATTGTCGGCGGGGCCTTTGCAATTGGCCGTGTCATTTTTTGTTATCGCTGGAGCTTTGGTTTTTTCATCACACACAATCTCTGGATATACTTTTCTATCTATTATGGCGACCTCAATGATAACCTATAACGCATTCAGTTTAATTTCCGTACGAGTATCCGTGGGATATATCAACGAACCGTCCTTGCGTGCTTTTTCTCGTTTTGTGAGAGATAAGGTCATAAGGATCACCAAAACTTCACATGACAAACGGAAAACCATCGCGCTGGCTGGAAAGTTGCTCTTGAGCACCGAAACCTGAAGAGCATTGGTTTTCCGATCATTTTGTCGTCGAACGCCTGCTCAATTCTTTCTAAGCTATCGGTCTTCTGATCCACTACGGTGAGTACTCCAAAAGTTGTGTGCTACTTTTCCAAGAATCTTGGTTACAAGAATCCGTCGAGGACGAATTGGTTCAGATCGAAGGCTTCCAATTATTTCGAGCAGATAGACCTCCAGGAAGGAAAACTAAAGGTATAGGCGTCATCACTTATATGCGCCGGTCGTGGTGTAACTCCACCAAATACATATTTACTCGCTGCATAAAAAACATTTTGTATTTCCGTAGAATGTAAACCACGTTTTCTCCTGCGTCACACTTCGATCATCTCAAACCTACACA